CCAGTAAGGGGTTGGACCGGGGGGGCGGGAACTACCACCTCTTCCCATTCTCATTCTTATTTTACTCCCTTCCTTTTCTAGTATTTTCCTATCCTAGTCCTTTCCTATTCTATTTCTATTCTATTTGATCCACTATTAGTTAGTATATGTATGCTATGTGATTTTTTGGGAGGGGTTTTTTTGGATTGACTCTAATTTCAGTTTGCTTTCCTTGAGGCATTTCTCCCTTTCGACTGTTGTATCCGGAGGCGAGAAAGTGTTACAGTTGCAACTCGTCCGAGCTAGTGATTATCCCCGTTGTTTTCCACCTCATTGCTGCCGAAAGTTGCATATTCCCTCCACTTACTAGCTGCCATCTCTTCGACACCTCAACCTTTCTGTTTTCCGCTGCCACACAGGCCTCCAACCCTCTTCTCGGCGCCGCACAGGCCTCTCGGCCCTTCCCTATTGCCGCCTAAGACCTCCACCCATCGCATAGCCTGTCAGCCTCTTCCCTGCTGTCGGTCAAACCTCCAGCCACCTTCCAACAGCACCACATGCCCTTCCGTCCCTCTTCTTGTTGCCAACCAACCACCTCCAAACAACCTTCAACCACTGCAGATCTAGACCCCACCTTTCCTACTATTAATGTCACTCCTCCCTTCCCCTTTACCACAACCCACCATATATTTTTTGTGTTGGTTTGTCGTTTATGTCTTGTGTTGACGAGCCCCCATCGTAACCTTTTGAATTTCAGCAATAATATTATATGTTTATTGTAGTTTGAGTTAACTTCGGTATCATTTGATAGCAGAGCTATCGTAACTCTAGTCCTATTGTGGGGTTTCCTAGCATCCGCCTTACCCCTTCACCAAAAAATTTTTTTTCCTATTCTTAAACCATAGCCAAAACTGTGACCTGACCATAATTTCCCTTTGTTGATAAATTAGCAACCATAAATCATTTTTTCGCCCTCTTTCAACTCTAATTCCAAACCCTAGTCATGTCACCAAGGAAATACATGCACGAGCCTACCCAGGAAGAGATACGCTGAGAGATCTGTGAACTTCAACGGAGATTGGCGGGCATCGAGGATGACACACAGGCACACTTACCGTCAACGATGCCAGAGAAATCGAAGAGAAAGAGACGAAAATTTCAACCCCTCCCATAGGGAAGATTTCAGTAATAAAGATGAAAGACCACCGCATTTTGGAATCCAATATCAGAGGAGACCTAGAGAGGAGACATCAGTTGGAGGACACAGAAACTACAAAATCAAGGTGATCTACCAGAGCTTGAGGGAGATATGAATTCGGATGAATTTATTGATTGGCTACAATGTGTTGAATGGGTCTTCAAATATAAAGATGCGTCAGAGGATAAGCGGGTAAAATAAACTGCTATTAAGTTAATAAATAGCACATTTTTGTGATGGGAGAACATATTGCGACAAAAAAAAAGAGAAGGCAACAAAAAGGTCACCAAGGGGAAAAGGTAATGAAAGCAATACAAAAGAAATATCTTCCACCTCATTACCGCCAGGACATGTGTAAGGGGCTCCACCACCTGCAACAGCGAGACCTTTCAGTGGAGGAGTTCACAACTCAGTTCGACCACTTACAGATGAAATGCGAGCTGAACGAGTAGGAGGAAAACTGTAAACCGGTACCTTGAGGGCTTGAAACCTGCTATTAACAATGTGGTACAGCTGCAGCCTTATTAGTTACTTAGGATGTCCAGACCAAGGCACTGAAAGTGAAAAGACACAGAAATAGAGCAAGAAGCAACCACCAGTCAAGCAGCCACCCACAGTTGGAGACACCGGCAGGAGCACACCTCAAGGAGTTGAGAAAACTGATTCGACTAAGGATAAAGCTACCAAAGCGAGAAGAAACCTGAGAACAGTAGCACACCTACTACAGTCCCCGCCAAACAATGTTTCAAATGTCATGGATATGGGCACATCGCCTAGAGCTGTCAGACAAGCCGAGTTGTCTTTTACTGAGCAAGGCGCTGTGGAGGGGGTTAGCAACGAGGAGACAGTTGGGTAATAGGGTGAGGTGTATCATCTTCCACTTAGTGAAGGAGAAGAGCTCGTGGTTCAATGGGTCCTACAAACTAAGAATATGAGGGATCTACAGTGGTTTCGCCACAATATATTCTATACTCGTTGCATGATGAACAAAAAAGTATGCAGTCTCATCATCGATAGAGGGAGCAGCAAGAACGTGATATCTACACAGAAGATAGAGAAACTGTGTCTTATGACTCATAGGCATTCCCAACCGTATTCACTGACATGACTGAAGAAGAAGAACATGATCAGCATTGATTGGAGGTGCCTCGTAGAGTTTTTGATAAAGAGTTGACTATGTGATCAGGTTAGTGTGATGTGGTCCCATTGATACCTGCCATCTTTTGCTGGGGAGCAATTTGGCCGGAGAACTTATCACGTGGATTCAGGAACACCTATTCCTTCACCAAGAATGGGAAGCACATAGTCCTCCCTTCAGTAAAGCACGAGATCATAGGTGCCCTCGCTATTAGAGCCGCATTAGTGAGACCAGTTTTGATGACGATGGAGGGTGATAGTACTGAGACACAGGCGCCGGAAACAGGAACAACCATGATCCAGAGCATAATTTCAGGAAACCACGGTTGATATCTTACCACCATTGCCACAATCGTTCAGAGATGGCCAAGCTATCCTCATTTCAAACCAGGTTAAGCCGATGTGGATTACTTCAAGAGTATTCAGCAGCATGGGCAAGACGCACAAACTCAGTTCATTTCAATAGGGGACCCCAAGGCGAGTGGATCGATATGGATGTAAGCTCGCAAGTGGAGAAAGGTCCTCTGATGCTTTGGGAGGCAATGCAGTAGGCAGTGAGATCAAGGTACTTGTAGGACAACAGACGAAGAACAAGAAGTTTCTACATATGAAGTTAAAACTCCCCCAATCCCCGAAGACTGAAGCGGGTGCTTAACTGAACCGAACACTCGGTTCAGCTAGGGTTCGGTCCAATAAGGGGCTGGTCAACTATCCCAAGGGGGCGGGAACTACCGCTTCTTCCTCACCCCTTCCTATTTTATTTCCTTCCTTTTCTAATCTTTTTCTATCCTAGTCCTTTCCTATTCTATTTCTTTCCTATTTGATCCACTATTTGCTATTATATGTATGTTGTGCATTTGTTTAAGAGCGATTTTATTGTATTTTCTCTGATTTCAATGTGTTGCCCCTAAGGTGTTTCTCCCTTCTAAGGGTTGTATCCGACAGCGAGAAGGTGCTCCTGCTGTAACCCATCCAAAGTGGAGAATATTCACCTTATTTTTCACCTCCTTGTTGCCGCCAGCCGCATATTCCCTCCATCTGCTCACTGCAATCTCTCTGACACTTCAACCTTACAGTTTTCCCCTGTCGCACAGTCCTCCAGCCCTCTTATCGCCGTCGCCACCACCTAGGCATCTCGACCCTTCCTTGCTGCTGCTCCGGGCCTCCTGCCACCGCACCGGCCTCTCGACCTCTTCCTTGTTGCCAGCTGGACCTCCAAGTACCTTCCAGTAGTGGCACAGGTCCTTCTGACCCTCTTCCTGTTGTCATCCAGCCCATCAGCCACCGCAAATTTAGACCCCACATTTCTCGTTGTTGTCGTCATTCCTCTCCTCCCCCTTTACCACATCCCACCATATTCATATTCACCAAAGGGTGTATTTTTATTGTTTATGTTGTTTGCGTTGATTGTCATTTATGTCCTGTGTTGACGAGTCTCTGTTGTCACCTTGTGAATTTCAGCAATAATATTATATGTTTATTGTGGCTTGGGTTAACTCTGACATCATGAACTTAAATCTCATTGATCCACTTAAGCTTTTGATTTGCCTAACTTCATTTCAAGAACATTTGGCAAGTGTATCGAGATATAAAGCATGGATAATTCCAATTTGATAATATAATTTTTGTTTTTATTTCTTAAATATTCAATTTAATATGTCATACTTTCATAATATCTATGTGGTTTTCATCTTGTCATGAAATTGGTGCATTATGCACTATATTACAATCTTTTTTTATTTTGAACTTGTATATCTTGTCCAAGTGTGTTCTAATTATGTGTTCCTATAATTTCTACTATGTTTTTGGCTTTTCTTTTGGCCCAATGAAAGGTTCGACGGTTGGTTTTGAGCTTGGCAAAAAAATTTCAGTGTGAAGGCTCCCCTGGAGCATGTAAAAGGGTCAGCTTTGCCTCACTTTGTTAAAGAAAGCAAAAGGTTGGCATAACTTAGGTAAATGAAAGCGGATATGAAAATTTCCAAGTTTAGGAAAAAGATGGTAGGCTGGAGCACTAAATGTTGGACATCTTATTTGTGATCTACTTTATTTAGTTGTTACTTTTACTCTCTCACAAATTTATCGTTTCATTCTACACAACTTCGAGGTGTGATTTCATTCACACTTTAATTTTATGTGATTTTAATAAAGAAAATTTCATCACCTCCACAACCCAACACACACCCTCCCACCCAACTTGGGCGCACTCCAAGGGCTGCATATCAGTCAATATCTAAAATTTGAAGTATAATAACTATTTAATTACAAATCTTTTTACGAATAATCCAACTAATCTTTTTTTTTTACCACAAAAGCCTTCCGGATTGAGCTTGCAATGCTCCAAACCAGTAATAAAAAATTTAACATATTAATAGCAGCAATAAAAAATTATTAGCTATAATTTTCTAGATCCAATTTTTCTTCAAAATCTCACTTGAAAGCTGAAACCAAACAGCCCCACTGCCGCCGCTGGGCTGAACCTAAAGGACAGAGATGGAATTGTAGAAAAAGTTGAGGGCATTTCCGACATAATATTTTCTAAACTAAATAACTGTATTTTCTTAAAAGGCCGATAAAAAGAACGAAGAATGGAACCAATGACGTAAATACCAGATACCGCCGACGGAAACCCTATCACAGAACCTAACTTCATGAAATTGTGAAACGAAAACGCAGCATTCGTGCTTACCCTGGCTCGATCTCCCTCAGGCAAGTACCTGGCGAGAATCTCCTTCATGAACTCCAGCTTCGCGTCCCTCGGCGCTTCGAGCATACTTGGCGGGAGGTGCCGCTCCAGCGAGCTGAAGATGTTGGGGTCGAACTCAGACTGCACATCCTCGTACGTATCTGGTTTATGCGCCTTGTTCGGATTCAGCCTGAGCCGACGATCTCCGTACGGCGCCCTCACTGATGAAAGCGGCGCCGGCGCCAATACGGGCGCCGCTAATCCGTTCCCGGACGGTGTGTCTTCCCTCCTCTCAACGGAGCCGTCCAGTGACATCACTCGAATTCGCAGCTGGCGTGGAATGGATCAAAGAATCACGAGGCGAGTGGCATCCTGAGTGAGAATTAGTTAGTTAACGTGCTCTAATGGGTTCAAAATCAATGTGACATTTAGGGTTTCGTTTTGATTCAAAGCGAGGCACCACGAATTAGGGTTTGTTGGCAGAGTCGAAGAGCCGAGAGGTTTAGAAGTACCTCGGAATCGTATAGTTAAAAGGAAATGCCTCCGGTTGGCGGGCAAATTACGGCGGGTTGCCACTGGCCCATCGAGTACGAAGCAATGTTCGTTTCCTGGTTCGCCAACGTGCATTTTTAGGGTTTTCGCTTGACGATGAGTAAAAGTAGCGTACGCTACATCATACATTTCTGGGCCTCGGCCTTTGGCGTTAGTCATGTGAACGGGATTTATTAATATAAATTGAGCTTGGTAAATTTTTAAGGTTAAAATTTAGAAAGAAGATTTACATATATTTCCTATGTATTTATGATTTTGACGCTAAAATTTAAATTTATATATTTATATATATATA